TGCCTCTCATCAGTGGGCATGCCTCTCATCAGTGGGCATGCCTCTCATCAGTGAGCATGCCTCTCATCAGTGGGCATGCCTCTCATCAGTGGGCATGCCTCTCATCAGTGAGCATGCCTCTCATCAGTGGGCATGCCTCTCATCAGTGAGCATGCCTCTCATCAGTGGGCATGCCTCTCATCAGTGGGCATGCCTCTCATCAGTGGGCATGCCTCTCATCAGTGGGCATGCCTCTCATCAGTGGGCATGCCTCTCATCAGTGGGCATGCCTCTCATCAGTGGGCATGCCTCTCATCAGTGAGCATGCCTCTCATCAGTGGGCATGCCTCTCATCAGTGGGCATGCCTCTCATCAGTGGGCATGCCTCTCATCAGTGGGCATGCCTCTCATCAGTGGGCATGCCTCTCATCAGTGGGCATGCGTCTCATCAGCGGGCATGCCTCTCATCAGTGGGCATGCCTCTCATCAGTGGGCATGCCTCTCATCAGTGGGCATGCCTCTCATCAGTGGGCATGCCTCTCATCAGTGGGCATGCCTCTCATCAGTGGGCATGCCCCTCATCAGTGGGCATGCCCCTCATCAGTGGGCATGCCTCGCATCAGTGGGCATGCCTCGCATCAGTGGGCATGCCTCTCATCAGTGGGCATGCCTCTCATCAGTGGGCATGCCTCTCATCAGTGAGCATGCCTCTCATCAGTGGGCATGCCTCTCATCAGTGGGCATGCCTCTCATCAGTGAGCATGCCTCTCATCAGTGGGCATGCCTCTCATCAGTGAGCATGCCTCTCATCAGTGGGCATGCCTCTCATCAGTGGGCATGCATTTCATCAGTGGGCATGCCTCTCATCAGTGGGCATGCCTCTCATCAGTGGGCATGCCTCTCATCAGTGGGCATGCCTCTCATCAGTGGGCATGCCTCTCATCAGTGGGCATGCCTCTCATGAGTGGGCATGCCTCTCATCAGTGGGCATGCCTCTCATCAGTGGGCATGCCTCTCATCAGTGGGCATGCCTCTCATCAGTGGGCATGCCTCTCATCAGTGGGCATGCCTCTCATCAGTGAGTAAGCCTCTCATCAGTGGGCATGCCTCTCATCAGTGGGCATGCCTCTCATCAGTGGGCATGCCTCTCATCAGTGGGCATGCCTCTCATCAGTGGGCATGCCTCTCATCAGTGGGCATGCCTCTCATCAGTGAGCATGCCTCTCATCAGTGAGCATGCCTCTCATCAGTGGGCATGCCTCTCATCAGTGGGCATGCCTCTCATCAGTGGGCATGCCTCTCATCAGTGAGCATGCCTCTCATCAGTGAGCATGCCTCTCATCAGTGAGCATGCCTCTCATCAGTGAGCATGCCTCTCATCAGTGGGCATGCCTCTCATCAGTGGGCATGCCTCTCATCAGTGGGCATGCCTCTCATCAGTGAGCATGCCTCTCATCAGTGAGCATGCCTCTCATCAGTGAGCATGCCTCTCATCAGTGAGCATGCCTCTCATCAGTGGGCATGCCTCTCATCAGCGGGCATGCCTCTCATCAGTGGGCATGCCTCTCATCAGTGGGCATGCCTCTCATCAGTGGGCATGCCTCTCATCAGTGGGCATGCCTCTCATCAGTGGGCATGCCCCTCATCAGTGGGCATGCCCCTCATAAGTGGGCATGCCTCTCATCAGTGGGCATGCCTCTCATCAGTGGGCATGCCCCTCATCAGTGGGCATGCCTCTCATCAGTGGGCATGCCTCTCATCAGTGGGCATGCCTCTCATCAGTGGGCATGCCTCTCATCAGTGGGCATGCCTCTCATCAGTGGGCATGCCTCTCATCAGTGGGCATGCCTCTCATCAGTGGGCATGCCTCTCATCAGTGGGCATGCCTCTCATCAGTGGGCATGCCTCTCATCAGTGGGCATGCCTCTCATCAGTGGGCATGCGTCTCATCAGCGGGCATGCCTCTCATCAGTGGGCATGCCTCTCATCAGTGGGCATGCCTCTCATCAGTGGGCATGCCTCTCATCAGTGTGCATGCCTCTCATCAGTGGGCATGCCCCTCATCAGTGGGCATGCCTCTCATCAGTGGGCATGCCTCTCATCAGTGGGCATGCCTCTCATCAGTGAGCATGCCTCTCATCAGTGGGCATGCCTCTCATCAGTGGGCATGCCTCTCATCAGTGGGCATGCCTCTCATCAGTGGGCATGCCTCTCATCAGTGGGCATGCCCCTCATCAGTGGGCATGCCTCTCATCAGTGGGCATGCCCCTCATCAGTGGGCATGCCTCTCATCAGAGGGCATGCCCCTCATCAGTGGTTATGCCTCTCATCAGTGGGCATGCCTCTCATCAGTGGGCATGCCTCTCATCAGTGGGCATGCCTCTCATCAGTGGGCATGCCCCTCATCAGTGGGCATGCCTCTCATCAGTGAGCATGCCTCTCATCAGTGGGCATGCCTCTCATCAGTGAGCATGCCTCTCATCAGTGAGCATGCCTCTCATCAGTGAGCATGCCTCTCATCAGTGAGCATGCCTCTCATCAGTGGGCATGCCTCTCATCAGCGGGCATGCCTCTCATCAGCGGGCATGCCTCTCATCAGTGGGCATGCCTCTCATCAGTGGGCATGCCTCTCATCAGTGGGCATGCCTCTCATCAGTGGGCATGCCTCTCATCAGTGGGCATGCCCCTCATCAGTGGGCATGCCCCTCATAAGTGGGCATGCCTCTCATCAGTGGGCATGCCTCTCATCAGTGGGCATGCCTCTCATCAGTGGGCATGCCTCTCATCAGTGGGCATGCCTCTCATCAGTGGGCATGCGTCTCATCAGCGGGCATGCCTCTCATCAGTGGGCATGCCTCTCATCAGTGGGCATGCCTCTCATCAGTGGGCATGCCTCTCATCAGTGTGCATGCCTCTCATCAGTGGGCATGCCCCTCATCAGTGGGCATGCCTCTCATCAGTGGGCATGCCTCTCATCAGTGGGCATGCCTCTCATCAGTGAGCATGCCTCTCATCAGTGGGCATGCCTCTCATCAGTGAGCATGCCTCTCATCAGTGGGCATGCCTCTCATCAGTGGGCATGCCTCTCATCAGTGAGCATGCCTCTCATCAGTGGGCATGCCTCTCATCAGTGGGCATGCCTCTCATCAGTGGGCATGCCTCTCATCAGTGGGCATGCCTCTCATCAGCGGGCATGCCTCTCATCAGTGGGCATGCCTCTCATCAGTGGGCATGCCTCTCATCAGGGGGCATGCCTCTCATCAGTGGGCATGCCTCTCATCAGGGGGCATGCCTCTCATCAGTGGGCATGCCTCTCATCAGTGGGCATGCCTCTCATCAGTGGGCATGCCTCTCATCAGTGGGCATGCCTCTCATCAGTGGGCATGCCTCTCATCAGTGGGCATGCCTCTCATCAGTGAGCATGCCTCTCATCAGTGGGCATGCCTCTCATCAGTGGGCATGCCTCTCATCAGTGAGCATGCCTCTCATCAGTGGGCATGCCTCTCATCAGTGGGCATGCCTCTCATCAGTGGGCATGCCTCTCATCAGTGGGCATGCCTTTCATCAGTGAGCATGCCTCTCATCAGTGGGCATGCCTCTCATCAGTGGGCATGCCTCTCATCAGCGGGCATGCCTCTCATCAGTGGGCATGCCTCTCATCAGTGGGCATGCGTCTCATCAGCGGGCATGCCTCTCATCAGCGGGCATGCCTCTCATCAGTGGGCATGCCTCTCATCAGTGGGCATGCCTCTCATCAGTGGGCATGCCTCTCATCAGTGGGCATGCCTCTCATCAGTGGGCATGCCCCTCATCAGTGGGCATGCCTCTCATCAGAGGGCATGCCCCTCATCAGTGGTTATGCCTCTCATCAGTGGGCATGCCTCTCATCAGTGGGCATGCCTCTCATCAGTGGGCATGCCTCTCATCAGTGGGCATGCCCCTCATCAGTCTCATCAGTGGGCATGCCTCTCATCAGTGGGCATGCCTCTCATCAGTGGGCATGCCTCTCATCAGTGGGCATGCCTCTCATCAGTGGGCATGCCTCTCATCAGTGGGCATGCCTCTCATCAGCGGGCATGCCTCTCATCAGTGGGCATGCCTCTCATCAGTGGGCATGCCTCTCATCAGCGGGCATGCCTCTCATCAGTGGGCATGCCTTTCATCAGTGGGCATGCCTCTCATCAGTGGGCATGCCTCTCATCAGTGGGCATGCCCCTCATCAGTGGGCATGCCCCTCATCAGTGGGCATGCCTCTCATCAGTGGGCATGCCTCTCATCAGTGGGCATGCCCCTCATCAGTGGGCATGCCTCTCATCAGTGGGCATGCCTCTCATCAGTGGGCATGCCTCTCATCAGTGAGCATGCCTCTCATCAGTGGGCATGCCTCTCATCAGTGGGCATGCCTCTCATCAGCGGGCATGCCTCTCATCAGTGGGCATGCCTCTCATCAGTGGGCATGCCTCTCATCAGTGGGCATGCCTCTCATCAGTGGGCATGCCTCTCATCAGTGGGCATGCCTCTCATCAGTGGGCATGCCTCTCATCAGTGGGCATGCCTCTGCAGCTGCAGCGGAAATCTGCTCTGGCCGCCAGAAAGCTGCGGCTCATGGTGGTCAACCCCCCCCTCACTGAAACGAGCATTCCCGCCATCACCAGTACATGACATGTCACTGAGTTGACTTAAACTTGTGTGTCAACCCCCCCCTCGAAATTCCCGCCATCACCAGTACATGACATGTGCGTGTGGTCTGCCTCGTGCTGTGATGAGGCACGTCACATGTTACTCTGTCGCATCACTCTCCTTCCCATGTGTCACTCATTCGAGATACCCCTGCATGCCTGCACCCGTGATGCCCTTACTTACGTTCGCCATCAGATGAGCGGCTCTGCCTCATGCCCGGACGAGCTCATGCGGAGATGGTGCCAGGTCACTCGGATCACCAAGCTCGTGTTTTCCTGTCCGGTGTGCCGCTCCCTCTGTGTGTCAGTCACTCACCCTTTTGTACCCCTGCCCACCATCAGATGAGCGGCTCTGCCTCATGCCCGGACGTGCTCATGCGGCGATGGCACCAAGTCACGGGTCAGAGGCTGCTGGAGCGATACGGGATGACAGAGGTGAGTGGGTGTGGGAAGATATGGGGTGGTTGAGATGAGGGGGTATGGGGACAGGATGACAGAGGTGAGGGGGTGTGGGGAGATCTGGGGTGATTGAGGTGAGTCAGTTGGGGAGACATGGGGTGGTTGAGGTGAGCTGGCAGCGCAAGTGGGGCACCAAGTCACGGGGCAGAGGCTGCTGGAGCGATATGGGATGACAGAGGTGAGGGGGTGTGGGGTGACATGGGGTGGGGAAGATTATGGAATGAGTAACAGCAGTAAGTCACTGGGCAGAGGCTGCTGGAGCGATATGGGATGGCTGAGGTGAGGGGGTGTAGGGCAGCGCAATCCACAAGTGTGCATTGCGCAATCCACAAGTGTGCAGTGTGACAAGAGCTGTATGGATGGGAAATTCACGACACCAGGTCACCAGGCACAGGCTTCTGAAGTGATACGGGTTGACAGAGGTGATACGGGTTGACAGAGGTGATACGGGTTGACAGAGGTGATACGGGTTGACAGAGGTGATACAGGTGAGGTGATACGGGTTGACAGAGGTGATACGGGTTGACAGAGGTGATACGGGTTGACAGAGGTGATACGGGTTGACAGAGGTGATACGGGTTGACAGAGGTGATACGGGTTGACAGAGGTGATACGGGTTGACAGAGGTGATACAGGTTGACAGGGGTGATACGGGTTGACAGAGGTGTTACGGGTTGACAGAGGTGATACGGGTTGACAGAGGTGATACGGGTTGACAGAGGTGATACGGGTTGACAGAGGTGATACGGGTTGACAGAGGTGAGTTAGCTGGGAGGGCTGTGAGTGTGGTGGGGAAGAGAATGGATGGATCATGGAAACACGACACCAGGTCACAGGGCAGAGGTTGCTGGAGCATATATTCCTCTGCTATTGTCTCCTTCCACTGGTGCCTTTCCCTCGATTTACTACCTCTCTTCTCCTATCCTCCCACTGCTCTGCACTGCTCCACACTGCTCTCCACCGCTCTCCAACCCGTTGTTCCATGCATGCAGTTCGGCATGGCCCTCACCAACCCGTTGCTGGGAGAAAAGAAATCCGGCTCAGTAGGCGTGCCACTCAGAGGGGTTAAGGTGAGTTTTTTAGTCTAGTAACTCACAGTCAAATGTGGTCAAGTGCGGTCAGTTGCGGTCAACTGAGGTCAGCTGCAGTCAGCCCTTTGCAGTCAGAAGGAATCAGGCTAAGTGGGCGTGCCACTCAGAGGGGTTATTGTGAGCGTATAGTTAACTGCGGTCAACTGTGGTCAACTGTGGTCAAAAGCGGTGAAATTCTGTCAACAGCAGTCAACCATCTGCTGTGGTCTGTGGTACCCCTCACGTCCCGTCTCTACCTCCCTTCGGATGAATGTAGATGACAAGCAGCTACTGCAGCTACGTGTTAAGATGTCTCGTTGCCCTTCCCTACCTCCCTCAGGTGAAACTAGCAGACACTGCAAAAGCCATGGAAAGCAACGCCAGCAGCAGCAGCAGCAGCAACAGACTGGCACCACAGGAGCCATGCTGGGTCACTTGTCTGCTCCAGGGGCGATGATCATGAGAGTACAAGAGAGAACTCAACTACTGATCTGTGGTATCCCCCTCGCCTCCACCTCTACTCCTGTCCGCAGGTGAAACTAGCAGACACTGCAAAGGATCGGCACAGCAGCAGCAACAGCACTGGCACTGCACGAGCCATGCTGGGTCACTTGTCTGCTCCAGGGGCATTCAGCAGTAGCAGCAGCAGCAGCAGCAGTGGTGGTGGCAGCAGTGTTGACAGCAGCAGTGCCAGCAGCGGCAGTGGGACGTGGAGTGGGGGGTGGGGAGAGCTACTGGTGAAGAGCTCTGGCATGTTCCTGCGATACTGGAACCAACCCCAGGTAGGTTAAGTTGAATGCATGGTGTGAGTGCTTGTAGTGGTGTGTTGAGTTGAGTAGCAGTGCCAGCAACAACATGTTAGAAGGAAATGCTGCCATGAGCAACAAAATGTTGGCGCTGGGATTCGAACTCGTGACCTTTCGACATATTCATGACAGTTTCTGCTAAGGCGCTGGTTATGGTGCACGTGAGTTTCAAACTGGAGACCTTTCGATTCAAGTGTCCCGAAAGTGTCTTGTTAGGACGGATTGGGGACAGATTGGGGACAGTTTGGCGAAATCGATCTCGGGTCGCGTTTGGTTTGAAACTCGGCAACGAAGTGTCGAAGTCAACGGAATTCGCACGGGAGTTACAGTCGGTGGTCGACGGAATTCTGGTCGCAGAAATTCTCGTCTACGGAATTCTAGTCAATGGAATTCACCCGGCGAAATTCTAGTCAATGGAATTCACCCGGCGAAATTCAAGGCTCGGAATTTCGCGTCGACGGAATTCAACGTGCGACCCGGGTCGACACTTTCTTGTGTGCTTTGTTTTTGTATTGCGTCCTATTATAAAACCAGAGAGCACAAACCAGAAATAAACTAGGTCATTATCACTGCTAAGTTTGTGTGTATCTCTGGTTATAGTGGACCGTTTCCTGCAATCTTTGGTGCGTTGGAATCGTGCTTCTGAACTCTATCAAACTGCTATAGTAGTGGAATTCTACATGGTATGAGAGCTGCGTTATCTGCGTCGATCCAACTAGTAGCTTGATCCCATCCTCCCGTTACTTAGTTCCTACGTTGGTGTGGCCGACGCTCGTTTTGACCGTGGATGGAGTGGTTAACGAACGCTGAGGGCCTGAATGCCCGTCAAGAGCTGGAGGCGCCCGTTCGTGAGCACCACCCTAACTTGCGTGATGAGGAGATCGACCTCATTGTGGACGGTCGTCTACTACGCATGGTTTGGGAGCGCACGGCGGAACAACCACCAGCGGGCGGCCAGCAAGGGGGAGCTGGTGGGGGAGGAGCTGAGCACGAGACTCCTGGTGCCGTGGGCATTAGCGGAGGAGCTACTGCACCTACCATCGACATGGGATTGATCGGGACGAGCTACGGTCAATTCAAGTTTGGAGTTGAGCACATCTCCATGACGCCGCTGCTGGAGGGAAGGCACGACCTTACCACGTGGGTCAGCGCCATCCGACCTCAGCTCCAGTGTGCTGATTTGTGGCAGTTTTGCAACGGGACAGCACCAAGCCCGGCCCCGAACAACCCTTTGCAACGAAGGGAGTACGCAAAGGGCCAAATGCTTGCATTCATGGTGCTGAACCGCTGTGTTTCTCCACCCATCCGAATGTCTATCTCTGGTTTCTCTCAGCATGAGAAAGTCGGGCAGCTAGTATGGGCATATATCTTCTTGTCTACTTATCAAGCTCGTGATGCCCTCCACGCTTCCCTACTTCAGACCCAGTTAGCCCAACTCAGGAAGGGAGATGATGAGACGGCGGAATCCTACTGCAATAGGGCCCGCACCATCCGAGCGGAGCTGCTGACCATCGGACAGGAGGTCCACATGGCCACGTTTACCGCTCACGTGCTAAAGGGCCTGCCACCGGAGTACGGATTTCTTCGCCGCAAGCTCGACATTTCCAGCCCTGACATGACAGTGGAACGCGTGTGCAGCGAGGTGTTGATGGAGGAGCAGACTCTCTCCATCGAACAAAGTTACAAGCAGATTACCAGCGATACATCTTCTTTCTCGGGCGCTGTCAACACCATCGTGGCTACAACGGAGGTCAACGGGAAGGAAGGAAAAGGGGGAAGGGAGCAGACGGACAAGAAGAAGGATGGCAAGTGGGAGAAGAAGCGAGGCCCCTTTAAGGGGTGCTACTACAACTGCAATGAGGAGGGGCACATGGCTGCCAAGTGCCCTCACAAGAAGAAGGATGCAACGCCCGCGGCAGCCGCGAACGTAGCTGAAGGAGACGGGAAACTCGTGGCGCTCACCGTCGCGTGTTCGGCTGCAAAGTTGCTGGCCGACGACAAAGACTTGTGCTTCCTTGACTCAGGATGCTCCCAACACATGACCGGCCGCAAGGAGTGGTTCACGGTGATCCGTGACCCATCTGCAACGAAATCTGTCAAAGGGTTTGATGGTTCTATGCAAGAAGTTGCCGGTGTTGGCGAGGTTTTATTGGAGGGCACTAACGGTTTGCGTGTGACCCTACATGATGTCCTCTGTGCTAGGAATGAAGGCCAACTTGGTCTCCCCTGGGCAGCTCACGGACAAAGGAGCAAATCTGCAAACCGAAGAAGGTGTCACCCGCATCATCGCATTGGGAGGACAAGCGGCTGTAACGGCACGCTACCGCCATCGTCTTCTTTGCCTTGACCTGAAACCGTGGCCAGCAAGCAATGGCACAACGGCTGCAGCGGCATGCAACGGCACGGTGGCTGCATCGGCTTGCACCGGTACGATAGCTGGAGCGGCATGCAATGGGACGGTGGCTGCAAGGGCATGCAACGGCACGGCGGCTGCAGTGACATGCAATGGCATAACTAAGGCGGTTGCTGACGGAGCGGCCAGCCTCAAGACGTACACGGTGGGCTCCAAGGCAACGCCCAACCTGTGGCACGCTCGCCTTGGACACGTCCACTCGATGCAATGAAGCGGACAGCCACGAGCGGAAGCGTGTTAGGCATGGACCTGGAGAAAGGAGGTGAGGATATGCCGTACACCTCTTGCCATGAAGCCAAACTCACTCGCGAATCATTTCCGCTGCACGACGAGCGCAAGAAGCAAGTTCTTGGGCTGGTCCATACTGACGTGTGCGGTCCATTTCAGACCCCAACCATGGATTGAATCAGGTACTACATTCTATTCGTGGACCACTTCTCACGTTACACCTGGGGGAAGAAGTTGAAGCTGAAGAGCGACGCGCTTGCTGCCTTCAAGGAATGGCTTCCCAAAGCTGAACGCCAAACCGGGATGACGCTGAAGGTGTTGCGGTCGGATCGGGGAGGGTAGTATATGTCGAATGAGTTTTTGTTGCTGCTGAAGCAACGAGGAATCTTGTGTCAACTTTCCTGCCCCTCGACCCCCCAGCAGAATAGTGTGGCTGAACGCCGCAACCGTACGGTAACTGAGGGCATGCGTGTGATGTTGGGGCACATGGGGGTGAAAGCACACTTATGGCACTTCGCTTTCCAGCAATTCTTGTGGGTGGTAAACTGTGTGCACCAGTCCACCCTGCCCCATGGTGTGACCCCTCATTTGGTGGTGTTCAAAGTAAAGCCCGATGTGTCCGTGGTCCGTGTGTTTGGATGCATGGTGCAATACCTCATTCCTGAGCATGAGTGTGAGGGGAAGCTTGCAAGCAAGACTCGTTGGGGCATGCACTTGGACATGAACATGGAAAGCAAGGGATGGCGTGTGGTGGATGTTGAGTCAAACTGCATGGTCATCACCCGGGATGCACGTTTTTATGAGGACATGTCACTTGAACGGTGGCAGAAGTGGCGTGCACGCGTGGGTGACGGGAATGACCAGCCCACACCACCCTTTGCTTCAGTCCCATCTCTCTTTCCTGAGCCCCACGACCTCGAGCAGAATCTGTTGCCACCACGTACCGTCATCGTGGTCCCGGTACCGTCAGTGCAAGGGGGCGAGCAACCCCTTGATCGCTCGGTGGGCCCTTTGGGCAGCAAGGCACCTACTGCACCAACTCCTCTCGGTCCACCCTCCGTTGCTGATTCGGCGCCCGTGGGACTAGAGGATGATCCTCTGGAGATTGGCACCAGCATGACTGCTCACGAGGAAGAAGAAGAAAAAGTAGCAGTGGATGAGCAATCACCAATGGCCCATGAGCATGAGCCTTCATCTGCAGTTCCCCCCATCCAGCCCATTCCACCACCCCCACGTCGCTCCAGCAGGCCTAACAAGGGGGTGCCACCCGTACGGTTTCAACCATCAGCCATGACGGCCCAGGATGCGGACGATGAGGACAACCCGTACGACGTGGCGTACCTTGCTGAGGACGATTGCGACACGGACAGCGATGACGAAGTGGAGTACCCGGACGAGGATGAGGAGGAGGAAGGCGCTTGGAGAGGTGTCATCCTCAACCTGGCAGCTGCGTTGACCGGACCTGAAGGCAAGGAATGGTGGGCTGCTATGAAGGAGGAGATGGAGAGCCTTGATGAGCAAGGCACTTGGACGTTGATTGACCTACCCGAAGGTCGCGAAACTGTTGGCGTCAAGTGGAGAAGAAGTTGCGGTCTGACAGTACCGTGGAGAAGTACAAGGCCAGGCTCGTGGCAAAGGGATTCAGCCAGCGCTTCGGCATCGACTACGACGACACCTATGCTCCGGATGGCAGCTATACCACCGTCCGTGTGCTCTTCTCAATTGCAGTAGCTATGGACCTGGATTTGCTGCAGCTTGATGTGAAGAATGCATTTCTTCATGGCTCCATCGATCATGAGATCTACATGCAGCAACCGCCCTACTTCACCGACGGTAGCAGCAAGGTGTGCCTCCTGCAGAAGAGTCTTTACAGGCTAAAGTAGAGTCCCCTTCTGTGGTACAAAAAGATGGACAAGATGCTCCTTGTGGAGGGGTACAAGAAGAGCCTTGTGGACCAGGCCCTATACTACAAGGATGGGGCAAGCAAGAAGCGCGTGTGGCTGCTAATCTATGTGGATGACCTGCCAGCGGCAAGTGAAGACAAGCAGCTGTTGCAGGACCTGAAAGAGTTGCTGGCCAAGGCGTTTCAGCTCCGTGAGGTGGAGCCAGTGGAGCGCTACCTAGGGCTGCAGATTGTGCGCAACCACCCCAATAGGACAATCCTCCTGCACCAGAATGCATACGTGGCGAAGGTGCAGCAGCGATTCTTCAAGGGGGCGCCACCGAAGAAGTAGCCGATCACTCCTCTCTCCTCTGCCAGCTTTGCCAAGCAGGATGCCGGGTAGTTTGCCAACCGTACCATGACCCGGTCAATTCTCGGCATGGTGCAGTTTGTAGCCATCTCAACCCAACCTGACCTCTCTTTTGCGTGCAGCCGCCTTGCAGCAGGTGCAAACCTCAAGTCGAATGCGCATTGGCATGAGCTCTTCCGCACACTCTCTTACTGGGCTGCCTCACCGGACATGGGGCTGCTGTTCAAGGGAGGACCAGAGAGTTTGACTCTCGTGGGGTATGCGGATGCAGATGATGCGGGCGACAAGGAGAACATGTCGTCCACGGGAGGCTGCCTCTTCAAGCTTGGCGGGGCTGCCGTCTCCTGGCAGGCCAAGAAGCTGCAGGGTGCGACCAAACTTTCATCCACTGAGAGCGAGCTTGTGGCTGCGGTGGAAGCGGGAAAAGAGGGGCGCACGCTAAGGTTCCTGATGTGGGAGTTTCAGCTTCTAAAGAAGGGTGTTCCCACCACCCTGTACGTCGACAACATGTCAGCGGTGCAGCTCAGCCTGGCGGGTGGGCTGCAGGGGCGCATGAAGCATGTGGACCGTCGCCACATGTGGCTGCAGGATATGGCGCGCATGAAGAAGTTGGAGCTGCAACACATCCCTACGACGGCGCAGCCCGCGGACTTCTTCACGAAGCGGCTCGACGAGGCAGCCTTCAACCAATGCTGTGTAGCAGCCGGGCTGGTGCAGCGTGCTCCTAACAGCAAGGGGGCGTGTTAGAAGGAAATGCTGCCATGAGCAACAAAATGTTGGCGCTGGGATTCGAACTCGTGACCTTTTGACATATTCATGACAGTTTCTGCTAAGGCGCTGGTTATGATGCACGCGAGTTTCGAACTGGAGACCTTTCGATTCAAGTGTCCCGAAAGTGTCTTGTAAGGACGGATTGGGGACAGTTTGGGGACAGATTGGGGACAGTTTTGCGAAATCGATCTCGGGTCGCGTTTGGTTTGAAACTCGGCAACGAAGTGTCGAAGTCAACGGAATTCGCACGGGAGTTACAGTCGGTGGTCGACGGAATTCTGGTCGCAGAAATTCTCGTCTACGGAATTCTAGTCAATGGAATTCGTCCGGCGAAATTCGAGGCTCGGAAATTCGCGTCGACGGAATTCAACGTGCGACCCGGGTCGACACTTTCTTGTGTGCTTTGTTTTTGTATTGCGTCCTAGTATAAAACCAGAGAGCACAAACCAGAAACAAACTAGGTCATTATCACTGCTATGTTTGTGTGTATCGCTGGCTATAGTGGACCGTTTCCTGCAATCTTTGGTGCGTTGGAATCGTGCTTCTGAGCTCTATCAAGCTGGTATATTAGTGGAATTCTACACAGCAGTGCTGACAACTACAGCACATGCAGTGGGGGGTGGGGAGAGCTGATGATGAAGAGCGCTGGCATGTTCCTGCGATACTGGAACCGACTCCAGGTAGGTTGAATGCATGCAGTGTTGTTAGAACAGACCCAATATGTGTTGTTGATTGCACATGGAAGGCAGTAGCAGCGCGTGGGCTGGGGGGTGGGGAGAGCTACTGGTGAAGAGCCCTGGCATGTTCCTGCGATACTGGAACCAACCCAATGTGTGTTGAGTGCATGGTGTGAATGGTGAGTGTAGTATCACTCATTTCCTCTCATTCCATCTCATTACCGCTCATTGCCTCTCATTCCCCCTCATTGCCTCTCATTCCCTCCCATTCCCTCCCATTCCCTCTCATTGCCTCTCATTCCCTCCCATTCCCTCTAGTTCCCTCTCACTGCCCCCACCCTCCCAGGAAACAACAGAGGCGTTTGAATCCACAGGGGTGGTTCCGCATTGGTGCTCGTCCCCCCCCCTTTCCGTCACCCTTCTCGCTTCCATTCCGGCTCATTCCCGCTCATTCCCGCTCATTGCCTCTCATTGCCTCTCATTACCTCTAAACGCCTTCCACTGCTCAGGAAACAGCAGAGGCGTTCAACCCACAGGGGTGGTTCCGGACGGGCGATATTGCATCGGTGGATAGTCATGGGTACTGGCAGATCCACGGCAGTGAGTGTTGTTTCGCCATGTGTGCTGTATGTATGTGTACCGTACGTATGTGTATGTGTGTCATTACGTGTCTGGGCCTGTGATATTGCACCGGTGGAGAGCCATGGGTACTGGCATATCCATGGGAGTGGGTAGTCACATGGGAAGAGTGTATGTTGACTTTTGAGGCTCCTCAAAAAGGTAGTCGCATGGGAAGAGTGTATGTTGCGTACGCAATGTGTGCGTGGGTGCATGAGCATGTGAGTGCGTGCATGTATGGATGTGTGATATTGCATCGGTGCACAGCCATGGGTTTTGGCAGATCATGGGAGTGACTACTGTTGTCTAGCATGTTTGTAGAGTGCATGTGTGTATTATTTATGTGCATGGTATGCTCGTGTGACATGTGTCGAATATGTATGTGCATGTGTGCATGTGTGCATGCATTTTCTCTCTCGATGTAGCATGTGTTGGATGCAACGTTTGAGTCGACTCAATATAAAAGTCACCACCACCTATGCGGAACCTCATTCTGATCTGATTATGTTCACACTCACCACCTATCTGGTGGATGCGCCGTTTCCTTTTCTCTCTCCATTCTCCATCCCCCCTCCCCCTAACTCCTCTCTCTCAGGGGCGAGTGTGGACATAATTAAAACGAGGGGCTTCAAGGTTTCTGCGCTGGAGATCGAGTCGAAGCTGCTGGAGGTGATATATGTGGGGAAGGGTGATTCCCGCTGGTAGTAGGTGATGCACGGTGATGGGAGGTGATCGGCGAAGATGCTCTTCCATGTGTCGTGACGAGGGGTGATGAGGGGTGACGGGTCACGGGTTTAGGGTTTAGACATAATCAAGACGATTGGCAAGATTTTCAACATAAGCAGTGATGAGCGGTGATGGGCGGTGGTGTGGGGGGGGGGGGGTGCAGTTGAGATAGAATCGAAGCTGCTGGAGGTGAAAGTGGGGCAGTGGGAAGGGTGATGAGCAGTACGGAGCGGTGACGGGCAGTGATTAGCAGTGGCATAGAAAACCCAATCAATGATTTCCTTTCTTCCTTTTTCCTCCTCCCTGTCCTTCCCCTCCTCCCCCACCCAGCATCCCCTCATACATATCCGATGCAGCAGTTTTGGGAGTGGCGGACAGGCAGCAGGGAGAGGCACAGCCGTGTGAAGCACCTCATGACAAGCCCCCCTTTCTCCCTCTCGATCTCTCCCCCTCCCTCTCCCCCCCTCCCAGCATCCTCTCATATCTGAGACAGCAGTGCTGGGAGTGGGTGCTGTCAGTAGCAGACACGTGGCTCCCCTCATATTCGAGACAGTAGTGCTGGGTGTGCCAGACAGGCAGCAGGGAGAGGCAGAGCCGTGTGAAGTAACTCACGACAAACCCCCCTTTCTCCCTCCCGCTTTCTCCCCCTTCCCATTAACTCTCACCCCCTCCTCCCAGCATCCTCTCATATCCGAGGCAGCAGTGCTGGGGGTGCCGGAGAGGCAGCAGGGAGAGGCGGTGGCGGCAGTGGTGGTGCTGGGAGCAGCACAGCAGCAGCACCACACCCAGGGGCAGCGGCATGGCGCTACTGGGGGAGGTGTTACTGAAACCAGCGAGGCAGCACCTGGGGAGCATGCTGCCATCACTCTTGATGAGCTGAGGAAATGGGCAACCCCCCGTATGGCTCACTATAAGGTGTGTGCGGGTGTCGTGTATTGCATGCCTCGTTATAAGGCAGCATGATGATCAATCTAGTGAGCATCCTGTGATCACTCTGGACGAGCTGAGGAAATGAGCATCCCCCCGCATGGCCCACTACAAGGCGTGTGCTGCTGTGTGGTGGTGTGTGCGGGTGTCATGTATTGTATGTCTCGCTACAAGGCAGCATGATGATCAATCTAGTGAGCATGCTGCTGTCAAGAGAGGACAGTGGGCTGCTGAGGCCTTACTTCCATCAACTCGTGTTGTATTAGGACAACGAAACAAACTCCATCACTCTAGACGAGCTCAGGAAATGGGCACCCCCCCGCATGGCCCACTATAAGGTGCGTGCCGTGCCGTGCCGTGCCGTGCCGTGCCGTGCCATGCCATCTCGCCCGAGAGTGGTTGCCAACATGCCACACTGCATGTACACCAGACCTTGCCACGCCATGCCATGCCATGTCATGCACCCACATCCAATTATTTCCCCCAATCCTGGCCACGTGCCATCTCCCCTCGCCCTCCCCTTGTAAGCAGGTGCCATCCCGCCTGAGAGTGGTTGCCACCATGCCACACAACGCCATGGGGAAGGTGAGACAGCAACAGGAACATGGCATGCAACATGCCATGCAATGACATGCAACATGCAATGCCATGCCATGCATTGCCATGAGGTGAGACGGCAGTAGGAGCATCACATGCAGCATGCAATGCCATGAGGTGCAACATCATGGCATAGCCACCACCCATCTCCTCATATAGCTTTTCCATCTTTCGTTTTCTGGCATGGCAGGTGAACAAGAAGGATCTCCTGAAGAGCCTTTTTGCCCCTATGCAACAGTCATGACTCATGTTGGAAACATCTAATTCATGCTTCTGATGTGTCGAGCACTAAAACAAAAACAAAGCATATCCACAGCGAAGCAACACCGAGTCAACCAAGATACAGCAAAGCGGTTGACAAGGCGACAACAGCAGGAGGTTGAAGCGAAGGTCAAAGGTCAGCAACCTTTGACTCGACAAAGGCAGCGCGACAGCAAGGACAAATAACTGACTCGCTATTGAGCAGTTACCCGAGTCGTCGTTGTATCGAACCGCAACAGTAGTTACAGTTAAACCTTTCGTATTCCTTGTAATCATATAAAACCCAGTATCTCTTTGCTATAATCAACTCATCTTGTTCTCACATACCGTACTAGTGCAAGATGGTTCAATTGGTTTACTATTACGCTTCTGCTAAATACATCACTACTCTAAGACTTCAGTCTTGAAAACGATCATAAGGGCTTTTTCAACCCAACATGGTATGAGAGCTTGCAAGTAAAACTCAACTTTGTTCAACTTCCAGCAACATCAGACGACAAGGCAACACAGAAGGAAAGAAGCTCGTCTACTGGATCTCCCGGTACTACTCCTACTCCACCGCCAGCCTCTGGACTGCAGACAGAAGGAGGCACAACTCTAAGACCAGCTGCTGAGTCAAATGAGACTCCTGCGAACCAAGCAACCAGCCTCGACCCAAGCATGATGGAAAATTCTTCTCCTTCATGTCGTTCTACGAGCAACATCAACAAGCGGCACCTGCGCAGTCAAACAACAGCGACAACAACAACGGAGTCACTCCCATGAGTCTCGACAGCTCATCTTTTGCGCGCAGAAATCAACAACCTACCTTCGTACCGTATGTACCTCAACGCGACTCTGTCAGCTTCGTGTCGAATTGGCTCCCACCTGGACAAGAGACGAAGACACTGGATGCACTTCACTTGCAGTCACAATTCGCACACGTACTGAAACTGCAAGCATCGACACCATTAGACGTAAAGGACTTCTACACCTGGTCCTTCGAACTCGAGCTGATGATGGAAGGCGCTCAAATTCTTGGCTTCTTCGACGGCTCCCTGCCATATCCAACGCACGGGACACAGTACGACAAGTAGGAGTACACGTACCAGTCACTGATGGCATACACCATACTTCTGCGAAACATAACGGCAAACGAGCAGCAGAACATCCGGTCTTGTCGCGGATACGGAAACTCCACCGAGCTCGCGTACAACCACCTGAAGAACCTGTATCAAGCAACCGACAGTGTTAATCAAAGTCGTCTCATGGCGCAATTAACAACGGTCCAAATGCAACCCGGCGAAAAGGGAATGGCATATATCAGTCGCTGTCGCGGTTTGCGCGATAGACTCATTCGATGCGGCGGATCAATATCCGAAGAAGCGTTCGTCACAGTCGTCATCACAGGTCTCAGTCCTCAGTGGCGCTCCACTCGAGCCATTCTCCAAGCCCACGGAAGAATGTCCGAAGCAAATCTCTGCACCGAAATCCATGCCGAACAACAAGACATGGACCTGCATGAAGAACGACAAAAGAAAAGAGGATTAGTACTAGAGTTCGCTTTTCATACTCAGCGGCACAACAACAACAACAACTGACAACAAGAGCACCAAGCACGAAGATACGTACCACCGTTCTATCATCTCTGCCGAACGTCAGGACACTCTCGTATTCATTGCCCGAATCAGCAGCAATCGACACAATCACCACGTCAGCTTCGACCTTCAAGTAGTCAAGTGACTTCCACACAGTAGCATCCTTCCAATCAGGCGCCGCCTTCAACGACAACGTCACAACCTGCACGAGGAACAAGAAACATCATAAGTTGTATGACAAGAACAGACTCATGCATCACCAGTTCACCACCGACCTACTCACCAGAAGAATTGCTCGACGAAAGCACACCTCGTCGGGAATCACTGAAACCAAACCCGACATACGCAGCTATTGCACAGAGCGAACTGTCCGGTCAAGATACTTGGTTCTTGGACAGCTGCTGCGGACAACACATGTGCTCATCAAATCGCTTCGTTCAACGGGAACAGCATCTCAACCGGGAAGTCGTGATCACCGTTGCCAACAACCAGAACCTGCACACACGACGACAAGGAGTAGTTCAACTTCAGTCCCACGAAACTAACGTCGTTTTGCAGATGTCGAAGGTTTTGATTGCAAAAGGACTGGGCTACAAGTTACTAAGCGTCAGCCAGTTCATGGCAAAAGGGATTCATCTTGAAGCCGACAGCACCACTCAAGAATTCAAACTGTACAATGGGAGGGGTGGACTTTACATCGGGAAAGCATTCTTGAATAACAACGTCTTCGTTCTCGACTTCGTCCCGGATCAAGGAACGGCTGACAGCGACACGATTGTCAACTTCATCACTTGGTCGCACCCACCAGATCCCGACTCAGACTTCAGCCCCGAAGGCTTTTGGTACTCACGCACTATACCTGAAGCAGAACGGACAAGGGCGTTAGCAGTGATTCAAAAGACAACAGCAGCAACAACAACATCGGTAGTAGCAGAGACAACAGCAGCAGCAACAACATCGGCAGAAGCAGAAGCAACAACAACAGCACCAGCACCAATCGCCAGCTCTTCATCAACACCGACTCCCGCTCAACAGCTGACTCCCGCTCCACGAGACATCCGCAGAAGTGTTAACATCACTGTAGGTTTCTACTCCAACTCCGACCTGTACTGGCGTTCACCTGGACATCGCGCCGATGAATCATTGTGGCATCAAAGGCTAGGACATCCCAGCAACACGTCACGGAACAACATGATAAGAGCAGGAGTTCTTGACAAAGATTCACTACTCTTACCCGACGGAAGAGAACTTCAACGAGTCCGCGGAACCTGCTTTACCTGTCCTGAAGCTGACTTACCTCATCAGCCGTTCGTATCTCACAACAACCCAAGCACACCAGCATATGCACCACTGGAGAAGGTCTACAGTGACATACTGTACACCTGCGAAAGTGGACAGGGAGCATACAACTACGTAATCGCGTTCATCGACGCCGCCACCAGATACGTCCGGCACCTCAATCTTCCGAGTCGCGACATGGCCTTCGAAGCCTTCGTTGCTTGGCTCCTAGTAGCAGAGAGGGAATCAGGAGTGAAGCTGAAAAGTTTCCGGTCAAACGGGGGAGGAGAATATCAATCACAGCACTTCAAGCAATACCTGGCAAAGAGAGGCATCAAGAGACTCATCTCTCTTCCCTACGCTCATCAACAGCAAGGCGTGGCAGAAAGAACGAACATGACCCTCCAGAACACCATGCGCAAGTTGCTACGTGGCATGCGACTACCCAAACATCAATGGCTTGAGGCGATGGACCACGCTGTGCTGCTACACAACTTGCTTTCGTCATCTTCGCTTCCGAACAACGCATCACCGCATCTGCAGTGGGGGCAACAAAAAAATGTTACGAGTTTTTGGCTGCATGGTACAGTACCGACCCCTGCAGCCCGCTCACCGCCCGCTCGCAGCCCGCGCGCCGCCCCTGCAGCCCGCTCGCGGCCCGCGCGCCGCCTCTGCAGCCCGCTCGCCGCCTGCGCGCCGCCCCTGCAGCCTGCTCACTGCCCGCTTGCGGCCCGCTCGCCGCCCTTAGGCCCGCTCGCTGCCCTAACGGCCCGCTCGCCGCTCCTGCAGCCCGCTTGCCGCTCGCTTGCGGCTCGCGCACTGCCCCTCCTGCAGCCCGCTCACCGCCCGCCTGCGGACCACTAGCCGCCCTTACGGCCCGCTCGCCGCCCCTGCAGCCTGCTCGCCGCTTGCTTGCGGCCCGCGCGCCGCCCCTTGCAGCCCGCTCACCGCCCCTTGTGGCCCGCGCGCCGCCCCTTGCAGCCCGCTCACCGCCCCTTACAACCCGCTCGCCGCCCCTTGCAGCCTGCTCGCCACCCCTTGCGGTCCGCTCGCCACCCCTTGCAACCCGCTTGCCGCCCTCTGGCAGCCCGCTCACTGCCCCTTGCAGCCCGCACGCCGCCCTCTGGCAGCCCGCTCGCCGCCCTTTCTGCTGGCCGCCCTAGCCGTGTGCCGCCCTGCCCTGCTCTGCGCACTTCCCTCTTGCTCGCGCGCCGCCCTACCTGTGTGCTGCTCTGCTGGTTGCGCGCCACCCTGCTCTGCCCGCTATGGCTTCTCTCAGTGTACTCACGTTCAATCATGAGGGCCGTCCGGTCCAGTTCGATACGTGGCTCGACGACTTACAGCTGTACCTACTGAGCGATTCTAGAGACAGCGTTTCGTTGTTTGACCACATGTCTGGAGCCTCTCTCGCCCCTCCCGCCACAGCTGACAGTGTGACTCGCTCACAGTGGCTTACGCGTGACGCTGCTGCTCGCTTAGCCGTTCGCAACCACCTGCCGTTAGCCGAACGCGCTCACTTCGGACAGCACAAGACTGCTAAAGCACTGTACGACGCTGTAGTCGCCCGTTACTCCTCCCCTGCCACTGCTGCTCTAGGCCGTCTTCTACTGCCCTACCTCTTTCCCGAGTTGTCCGCCTTTGCCATAGTAGAGGACCTCGTTACCCACCTTCGTACTAGCAACGCTCGCTACTGCGCTGCTCTCTCAGCAGAGTTCCTTGACAGGAACCCGCCCCCGATGTACATCACTCTCTACTTCATAGTCACCCGCCTCCCTGACTCTCTTCGAGCTTTCAGGGACCACTTTCTCGCACTTGACCCCACAGCCCTCACTGTCGACCTGCTCGAGCAGCACCTCCTTGCAGCTGAGACTA